GACGAGAATATACATCACCCTAAGGAAGATCAAAGATGAGTTGCTCTAGCAAAAGGAATGAAATCTAATTATAGAGTCCAAATGATGTCGGTATGGTGGCTATTGCCCTTCATCATTGATGTTAATGGTGGCAAAGCAATGGTTTAGTCGCTGTTATCAGCGTGTCTCGAACCCTATGGTTCGAGGTTCGGGTCCCACCAACACCACTTGACTTTGATGGTAGGCATATGTGCCCTAATCCAGTTCAATACCACGCCTAACCTAATTGCCCCTTATTTGGTTCTCCATTCCAAGTCCCGATGCTAAGGAGACTCATTTCCATCACTCAACAGCAGGTTCTTTCGACTTTGGATCTTTCCCGTCAACCGTTCAGCGTACTAATGTGAACAATGAAAAAGATTAGTGTAGAGGGATAGGTGAATTGGTGTAGCTTTGAAGTTAATTTTAGAAAACATCTTTTATCTAGTGATGTCATCCCAAATAACAGCCTTTTCGACCATGAAACAGATACAGTCAATCTCTGGATGAGTTACTCTCAGAAGAATTCGTATTTCCCGATATATTCCCACATTTGGGGAAACTCATACGTGTGTGGCATTTCGCGATACTTGCTTACTTATCAGAAAACTTGTCAGCGTTCATACATCTTAGGAGAGAAAGTTCGAGGCAATTAATGGGATAATCTCGGTATGTTTTACTGACTGGAGAAAAACTATCACCATTGATAATCAGAAGACATTAAACTCTAACGGAATCTCCGTGGTGGTGGTCTCAAACGTTTGCCTTGCAGTTACATTTCCAAAAAAGTGTGAATGACCTCTGCATTCCTCAAAAGTTGGATATCCAATATGAACCGCACAATGGTCTCTCGAGGACTCTCTATTTCAGGTGAAGCCCGTTCACCGTCACTTAAAAAGCCCTGATTAAAAACCCTGGCTTTTCTTATGCTACGCTGTTTGTCCATGCAACGAAGAGCCGAGACAAACAACTATTGACGATTATGCCACAAATAAATCTTGGTAATTTACACTGTTTTTCTCAAACACTGTGTGAGGACGCGAATGCAGTTGTGCAGCTTTGTGGTTACTTTTCCAACCGTGGTCACCAAGGTCACTGACATGTGTTCACGTGAGATTGGGGAACACAATTCCCCTGATCCATGGACTCTATCTCACCAACGGAGTTGTGCAAATGGGTGAAAGATAATTGCTGCCCAGCTAGCTGATGAGGGTGTGTTGGTAGAGGGTGAACGTAACAAGTTAGATCCCCATTAGATCTGTAACTGGGGATGATACTAATGCCTCAGTAAGAATGGATGAACGGGAGTCGCAGGTTTCGGGGCTAATGTTGTCCTGATGAAATGGGACACATCACCCCGGGAAAGGTATACATAACATAACATACATAACAACTACAACCTGAGTCAGATGAGCCCCTTACTCAGTTTGATCGAGGTATCTCTACAACTTCATGACTAACAACGACAGTACCAATGTTGACCAATCAATATATCGAATAGTTTTTGTATGAAACAGTGACAATAAAAATAGTACGAATGAATGGATGCTCACATGCACTACAGAACAGTAAGTAACAGAATCTTGGAAAAGAAATCAATACACTGCTTACAGCCAGAAACAATTATTAATTAATTAATTATATAATTTCTCTTTTATAACGTGGTTTCTTTCGTGTACGGTCTTTTCAATGAATTCAGCTTCAAATCACGTATGAACGCTGATCGAATCTGAATCCTCAACTTTGCCCAACTGGTGTGGTGTCATTAGAGTCCAAATCATTGTGGACGTAATCTATCCAACTCTGTTGGCATCCCCACATAGCGACTGAATGGGGCAATATCATGAGTTAGAACCATTTACCCGAGAAAAGGAAAATAGCTTCTGGATAAATGGACAATTGAATGCGAAAAGGGACTATCTGCCGGATGGATTGTTCTGGAGATTTCAAATTATCAAAAACATGTATAGTCTGTGTGGTACTGTATATTCCAATCACGTTTTAAATAAGCGAAAGGTAGTTATAGAGAACGGCAATAAGTAGTGGAATGGAAGTGGTATTCTAATCGGTATTTTGTATTACTTAAAAGCATATACTACTGTCTCATTGTCTGTAATTTACCCACTTCTTCGAATCCCCAAGGAATGTGACTTAGCCGAAGATGGATTATATGCTGTTTTAACCACAGGTTGGCATTCTAACGGTTGCCTCCACAAATTTGAGCAGGCGTCTTTCCTGTGGAATTGATTGATGTTACAATGGGTATAGCCAATGATGAACAGTCCAGTTGTATCAGAATTAGTTTATGACGGGAAGGATCGTGCATATGTTTATTTCAAATCTATTTACACAGACCATACGGATGTGCTCATAAATATGGGATAGCGTGACATTTCTGGAACAAGTGGAGGAACTTCATACCACCTGTGGCAGTTGAACATTTAAGAATGAAGTCATTCAAAGTAATGGTAGTAGTAAGCCAAGAGAACTGTATCCGCGGGAGAATGTTGTTA